TGATATGGGTTGGTGTCATGTCATCAAATATCTTTAATATGACTGACTTTGTATTTGTCACGAACCGGCTACTGTGGAGGAACGAGGAGACACAGGAGTAAACTCAAAACAGTCTTTAATCTTCTACTTCGGGGAAATATAGCGCAGGCAGACACACACATAGCACAAGGATAAACAATACCAGGCAAAGAACTTAGAACAAAACACTCCTTAAGAATACAACGCAATCAGGGGAAGACGAGACACACCTAGAATCAAATAGGAAACAATCAGGGAGCAGGAACAGGAAAATAACCAAAAAAGGGCATAATGACACAAGAGGGAAAACAAGGAACACATGGGGAGGAAAACAACAAAACGGGAACACAAGTCTGACAGTATTTAACATGAATTTAATAAAAACATTGTACGTTACTAATTATAACACTTACTATTATATATATAATATTTACATTATCAAAGAACATTATCATTGACTTCAGCCAGAGTTCAAGCACTCTCAAAAACTCCCATTATAATCACTGAAGCAGTTTACACTGTGAAATATCTTACTCACATCATACGCACATCTGCACTTTGTTGTTTCTGATGAGAGAATTCGCCAGCGAGCAGAATTCAGTCAGCGAGTTCAGGTAGTGAACAAAACACTGGTGTTTCAGGGTTGTGGCTATAAGGGATACAGCTAAAATTAAAAGCTAACTATAAATTAAATGTTCTACCTCTTAGATTGTGTTTTATTAACGTCTACACCTACCCCTTACAGTAATGCAAAAACAGTAATTATTGTTGTACAGTGTGACAAAAATTATGCCCAGTAGTTTTAGCTGTATCCCTTCTAGCCTTAACCACGTTTCAGCGATGACTCATCTGATTCTGAACACCTCTGACTGGCCATTGCATTCATAAATTGCGTTCCAGCAGGAGCAGTATTTCTGTTGCTATCTGGACCTGGTCTAGTGCCCTGGGCATGTGCCCGGTAGGCCCATACGTTAATCCATCCCTGGTTGATGGAATGGTGAAACAATTCTTAAACCTGAAATTATTTTTGTAAACCCAGAGGTCAAATGCTGCTGACTAATATTAGGTTAAGATTAAGATTGTGTATATTATGTAATTCCTTGACATAGACCTGTCTAACATGTCTGGTGTCTCTGGTCTGGTAATGTCTGGTCAAGTTTGGTTGTAATTGCTGTTATAAGTAAATGGTGTCTGGTGTGTATGTGTGATCAATCTTAGTGTTTTGGCTTAATATAACAGCATGCTTTAAAAATATTTTGGGTACTTGAACTTGGATTGCAGGGTGGAGTGGATGTGAAGGACATGTTCTGGTGAATTATGAGGCAGGCAATCAAAAATGACTTGGCTAAAGTGGTAAACTGGAGTGTAAATGGGAAAACACCAACCCAAAGTTTGAGTGGTAAGTGCATTTTTATTGTAAGTCTTTTAGGATCTCTATTTTTTTCCTCACGACTTTTTTACCACGTTATGAATGAATGTTGAAAGTCATAGCTCTTAGACTGGTGGTGTCTTAAATTTATTTTTAACTCTGTATTTTTATGCTCCTATTGTAGAGGCTGTAAGAAGAAATCCTGTATGCTAATACTTTATTGTTAAGAGAGTGAATCTTTTAGATTGTGTGTGTATGTTTTTTTTTTATATTAAACTTATATTTTTACATCTGTACGTATAAGTTGTATTGCATTTGTCTTTTGTTTGTTGGTTTCTGTATTTCCATATTTTAGACTGCATTATTAACATGAATTTAATAAAAACATTGTACGTTACTAATTATAACACTTACTATTATATATATAATATTTACATTATCAAAGAACATTATCATTGACTTCAGCCAGAGTTCAAGCACTCTCAAAAACTCCCATTATAATCACTGAAGCAGTTTACACTGTGAAATATCTTACTCACATCATACGCACATCTGCACTTTGTTGTTTCTGATGAGAGAATTCGCCAGCGAGCAGAATTCAGTCAGCGAGTTCAGGTAGTGAACAAAACACTGGTGTTTCAGGGTTGTGGCTATAAGGGATACAGCTAAAATTAAAAGCTAACTATAAATTAAATGTTCTACCTCTTAGATTGTGTTTTATTAACGTCTACACCTACCCCTTACAGTAATGCAAAAACAGTAATTATTGTTGTACAGTGTGACAAAAATTATGCCCAGTAGTTTTAGCTGTATCCCTTCTAGCCTTAACCACGTTTCAGCGATGACTCATCTGATTCTGAACACCTCTGACTGGCCATTGCATTCATAAATTGCGTTCCAGCAGGAGCAGTATTTCTGTTGCTATCTGGACCTGGTCTAGTGCCCTGGGCATGTGCCCGGTAGGCCCATACGTTAATCCATCCCTGGTTGATGGAATGGTGAAACAATTCTTAAACCTGAAATTATTTTTGTAAACCCAGAGGTCAAATGCTGCTGACTAATATTAGGTTAAGATTAAGATTGTGTATATTATGTAATTCCTTGACATAGACCTGTCTAACATGTCTGGTGTCTCTGGTCTGGTAATGTCTGGTCAAGTTTGGTTGTAATTGCTGTTATAAGTAAATGGTGTCTGGTGTGTATGTGTGATCAATCTTAGTGTTTTGGCTTAATATAACAGCATGCTTTAAAAATATTTTGGGTACTTGAACTTGGATTGCAGGGTGGAGTGGATGTGAAGGACATGTTCTGGTGAATTATGAGGCAGGCAATCAAAAATGACTTGGCTAAAGTGGTAAACTGGAGTGTAAATGGGAAAACACCAACCCAAAGTTTGAGTGGTAAGTGCATTTTTATTGTAAGTCTTTTAGGATCTCTATTTTTTTCCTCACGACTTTTTTACCACGTTATGAATGAATGTTGAAAGTCATAGCTCTTAGACTGGTGGTGTCTTAAATTTATTTTTAACTCTGTATTTGTATGCTCCTATTGTAGAGGCTGTAAGAAGAAATCCTGTATGCTAATACTTTATTGTTAAGAGAGTGAATCTTTTAGCCTTAGACTGGTGGTGTCTTAAATTTATTTTTAACTCTGTATTTTTATGCTCCTATTGTAGAGGCTGTAAGAAGAAATCCTGTATGCTAATACTTTATTGTTAAGAGAGTGAATCTTTTAGATTGTGTGTGTATGTTTTTTTTTTATATTAAACTTATATTTTTACATCTGTACGTATAAGTTGTATTGCATTTGTCTTTTGTTTGTTGGTTTCTGTATTTCCATATTTTAGACTGCATTATTGCTTTATTGTTTGTAACAGTTTAATTTGGTTTCTCTTGTTTTTATTTAAATGTTTTTTTTTTGGAGCTATTCTTATACTGTACTGTGACTATTTATTTGTTGCTTTTGTTTTGTCTTATTCTAGTGTTATTGGTTTATCTTTTTCCGAATGTTTTTATTTATTTATTTTTTATTTTTTCCTCTGCATCAATAAAACACTATACTGCATTTGCAGAGTTTCGTTCTTTTATTATACCTTGCACAATATGTAAATATTATATAGGGTAATTTCTGGTTCAGTTTTGGGGATTCTGGCATAATATTGGTCCAGTTATGGCTGTCTTCCAGAGCTTGTGGATAAGTTGTGGCTGAGTTCTGGGGTAAAGGCAGTTTGACTTTTGTCCGGCTGACATCTGGGGCCTCCGGCACTGTTGTGGGCCACTTATGGCTCATTTCTGGGGACACTGTGAAGTTGTGGGTGAGTTTTGGTCTGCTTCCGGCATTGGTCTGGGTAACTTTCAGCTAACTGCATTGGGACAACCTTGGGTCGTAATTCCATGTGGTATGTGGGCCAAACTCACAGCCGAAACACAGTCAGATCTGGCCTAAAACCAATTTGCTATCTAGGATGACTGGTCTTTGTGTAAATGTCCATAGAACTGGAAGACTTTCTGAGTGTATGCATAGGCTATTTTAGAAATGAACATTTAACAGATGAAAAAAAAAGGAATTAGGAAGAATCAATATATTATAAATAATTTATTGCTACTGTGTGAATATGTAATCTCAATACAAAAGTAACTGCAGTCTACGAGTATTTTAAAATGTAATGTAATTTAATTACAAGAATAGTTTTTGGAATCTGAATCTAGATTACATGTAATCAGTTACTACCCAGCTCTGCATACGAGTAACACTTTACAATAAGGTTTAATTTGTTAACAGTAGTTAACTACAGTAGATAACATGAACTAACAATGACAGATATTTCTTCTAATTTCTAAAGCATCTATTAATCTGAGTAAATGCTGATTCCACTATTAGGCTACATTGTTATTTAATGGGCCTGAGCTAACACTGACAATGAACATCTGTATTCTATTAACTAACGTTAACAAAAATGAATAAATACTGTAACAAATGTATTGCTTAGCGTTAGTTAATGTTAGTTTATGCATTAAATAGTTAAAAAAAGTAGGCTAGAACCTTAATGTTAGTGTTACCGACATATGCCACCAGTCATTCTTTAAGGGTGCTTTTTCATCTTTTGTGAATTTAATTAGCATGTGGTGACAACATTATTTCTAACTCTACCTCAACATAGAAATAAAAAAACTGATTTTGTAAAGACTATTTGGGTCACAGCAAGCTAAATGTTATAACTTTAACTCCCTGTATTACTTTTATTCAAAATTCTCTTTTAGTGGACATTGCATTTTGTTCGATGCAAAAAGCCTCAACTAGGCTAACTTACGTAACATATAACTCTCCATTGTGCAGTATTATGGGATATACAGTATGAGTTGCTTTAGGAGAACGTAAACCGAAATAAATAGTGATTATGTGGTACACAGTGATGATTGACGTTGAAAGGAGCGAGTCAACGTTACGAAATTGAATACAGGAAGTAATTTTAGCCAATGATTGGCCACGGTGGGCGGGGCTATGTGGCTTCCACGAGAGGTACACGCCCATCATCATCAGCGATTCAGCGCTCAACTCATTCTGCCTTTGCGTGGAGCAAAGAAGGCTCTGGAAAGGTAAGACGTGACTTGAACCAATATTAAAACGCTAACGTCCTGCTAGCAACTGAACACGTCTCAGACATATCTGTAGTGTTTGAGTCTAGCAGATGCCAAAGCAATCGTTTGTTTTCTTATCACGGCGAACCGGAGAGCTGCTTAGCTTAGTAAGTATCATAGTAAGTGTGTTGCCAAGTTACATTTGACAAATCTAGCTCTCTTTTTCTATCCCAGCTTCTCTCCGGAGATCTGATATCCCTCGACTGATCGGCTGCATCGCTCAGCACTTCCCAGGTCTAATCTGTCTTTGCCGTTGTGTCGTGTTACATTCTTGGATCACGACCCAACATCTCCAGGCTCTCCGCTGTCAACCCTTCACTGCGTCGGTGGACGACTAGCGTTGTGTTTATGTCTTTATTTTACGGAAACGGTGAGTATCCGATCGGTCAGTTGCATAAACTGATTTGTCAGTATCTGTTACACGTTTGTAAATGCGTTTTGGGTACCCACGTCTCGGAAACGAGTGTTTTTGGAGGCTTTTATAACTAGCTAATGGGTGTGAACTAGCTTGACTGAGGGGAACAAAATGGCGTCGCGGTGCTTTTGCGCACTCCGCCGCCGCGCGCTAACCGTGACGCACTCTGCACCACCGCGACGATCACACAACTTTACCAATCTGAGGTTCGTTAAAGCAAATATACTTCTAGTTGGGCTGTTTTAATCGTTTAAGGTAATGTACGCGCTGTCGTCGGTAGTCGATGTGTTTATTTCGATAGCGGAGTGGGTTGAGCTCAAACGGGTAAGTTAACCATGTGTATATCGACCTTGGGTGCAACACGGGTGGCTCGATATTGCGCTGTAGCTTACATAGATATCATTTCTAAACTACTAATAAAGCACCTTTAAATGCGGTGACGTGGTTTCTGAACGTTTACAATCCCCGTAACGTAAACAACTCGAGAGATGTACTTCCAATTCGACCAGCCGCGCTTAATACTACGTGATCGTGATCTTATGTTTGTTTGGTATTGGAAATATTGTTCTGTCACGTAACTCGCGGCTCTTAAATATATTCCTCGCCAGTCACGTGTTCAGTTGAACCTGCTGACGCAGTCGATGACGTTGGTAACTAGGGTCTTGATCAAGGCCTCTGCTACATGATTGTTTTTTGTTTTGTTTTAATTCACGACCAGACGTTTGTTTGCCTTTGATAACAGATGGCAGAGAGAATATTAAAACAATTTGTTGCATTTTTTAAATCCTAGGTATAGTGTGGATCATACAAGCCAGTGCCATAACCACCGTAGATATTCAGAGGAACAGGTCCCCCCCAGTACTCAGATGTGGCCAAACTGGCCCCAATATTTAATATTCTTGATGCTGCACTTCATTATGCACTGCTCTGTTTGTTGTTAGCGTGACAACAAGTTATTTTAGGCTGGTGTGCCTCAGTGGTGTAACAGTGCTTGTCAATGTTGAAATGGCCCATCAAATCAAAAAAAGTAATTAGCTAAACACTTAATATTTGACAACTGATATATGACTCTTTTTATCCACTTAACTTTTTTGTAAAATTTTGCTGTTTTAAATCAATCATTTAGGCTATCATTTGTGTGATTCATTTAGTTCATTATTGAATGTGATGAGACAAGAAACATTAATGGAGAGTTGTTTTTTTTAAAGAGATTAATAGTGAATGTTTTTTTTCTGTTGTTCAAATTATATTATTTGAACAAAAAAATAATGTAGTATTTTTAAAAAATCATTTAGGTGTTATTCCTAGTAAATAGTCATAAAAATGGCCACTAAACATTGGTTTGGTCCTCCAGGATGTATGGTTACAGTCTTTATACAAGCCCTGAATGGCCTACATTATTAATAATATGCGTTACAGATGAAAGTAATGGGGTTGTACTACATATCAGCACAACTGTGATTTGGCTATAGATACAAATTGGCCAGTTAGTTTGTATATTTCTTCTACCAACAAAAATAGTTTAGAAAGAATCCAATCCAAATGTGGTACCAAGTGGAAATTTAATCAAATTAAGAGGAACTGATGTATAAGACGGTGTATTTCACTTTGCTTTTCAGAGCTGTTGCGCAGCTGTTGGAACGCGAGCGGGGGAAGCCTAGTCCACGAGCGAGGAGTTTGCAGCCGCTGTGGCAAGATCTTTTTCATGTCAGAGACCGAGCACACTTGCAGTTGTTTATGTCATCCCCTCTTCTCCAGACAGAAGATACCCAAAAAATCCCATTCAAGATCTTTTTATCTTGCTGATAGTGCCTCAGATCACTCAAAATGTCTGTCAATGTCAACCGCACTGTGTCAGACCAGTTCTACCGCTACAAGATGCCCCGTTTGATTGCCAAGGTACTAGAGAGACTGTTTTTGCTCTAAATGCTACACATAAAAAAAAAACATTATTTATTTCTGCTAGGGCTGCACGATAAATCGCATGCGATTATTTAAGCGCGAATATGAACGTGGTTTTGCGCAGCTCGTCAGTGAACAACGGCTCTGTGTAGTTAATGCTGCTCAATGTGAAAGCATGCACGTGATGGAGATTTACCGCTGATTACAGAACCGGCTTTACTGATAAGATGCGCGTTAAATATCGCATGCGATTTATCGTGCAGCCCTAATTTCTGCTCATAATAGTGTTCTCTTACTGCTGTGTGCAAGCAGTAAGAGAACAATCTGATACAGAGTTGGAGAAGATTTAAAAAAATAGTTTTCCCGCTGTCAATTACAGGTGGAAGGCAAAGGGAATGGAATCAAGACGGTCATTGTCAACATGGTTGATGTTGCAAAGGCACTGAATAGGCCTCCAACCTGTAAGTTTGTGTTTATAATTGGTTATATCACAACTGTTATTCTTTCAGTAGTGTTTTATTATGGAACAGTAGTGTATGTATTCTTCCCTTTGCTGTTTCCTCAGATCCAACTAAGTATTTTGGCTGTGAGTTGGGGGCTCAGACTCAGTTTGATGCTAAGAATGACCGCTACATCGTAAACGGATCCCATGAAGCCAACAAACTGCAGGACATGCTGGATGGATTCATCCACAAGTTTGTGCTGTGCTCCGAGTGTGACAATCCTGAAACTGACCTGGTAAGCTGACAATTAGGTTTGCTTGCTGAATAAACTCATGGTTAAAAATTAAAGATTCTATTTACTCTGTGTTTTACTGTCGGTCAGATAATGTTTAGAGATCTTTCTGGAGGCTATTTAAACTTGTTTTTGTTTTTTTTGGTGCAAGTACAAGGCCAGTTGGCATGTTTAGTACACTCGATTTTGTCCTTTGCCCTACACTCGATTTTGTCTTTTGCCCTCCATAACCTACAAAAGTGATGACAAAATAGCCATGGTTGTGAAAGCATTTGTAAGAAAAAAAAGTGACGATGAAGATGTTTATTGCAGCATAGCAGTGACAAAGTACATGTAGTACCTTGGGTTCAACGGAGTCGGAATGAACCCAGAATATCCTAAACTCAAACCTTTTATACAGTTACAGTTTACTACCCTTAATCCAAATGAAGTTGCTCCTGTTGTAACAGCTGTGGTCTGTATGTTAATTAAGTTCTGACACCCCTTTGTCTGAGGTGGTTCTCAGTGTCCCACACCTGCTCCCATTCTACAATTGGTCACCATTTGCTCAGGATGTGATTATACAAAATGGACTACAAACAACATAACTGTTGACTTTCTTCTTCTCTATAATAATTAAGCCATTTTGGGAAATGAGCATGATCAAACATATATTGTGGGGTGGAATCTGGGTCGGGGCAGACTATAGATTCTTACACATTGGTCTACTTTAGTGTTATTTTAATATTTATATACTTTTATAGTATTTTTTGCTTTTATTTTTATATTTTCAGTTTACATTTTAAGTTTTAGTGACTATTTTCTTATCTCTTTAGCTTTATTATTTTAGTTTTAGTAATTGTAATTAAACATTATTTTATTTTAGTTAGTGTCAAAGCAACACCTACTTTATTACAAGTTTTTCCCTCGGAATATTTATTTGTTTATTTTGCCATTTCACAAAAACTGATTTTTAGTATTAATTTAACAATACCAACACCGGTTCTAGTGCTCACAATTCCGAGCACAAAGTCTGTAAATAACTGTTTGTTTGTTTTTTTAAAGTGAAAATCGAAACCTTTGACAATTCAAAGGTCGTTTCATTTTCAGAAATGTGCCTCATAGTATCTGTTGTTCAGTTAGATTCTTTGTCTCTCAGCATGTTAACCCAAAGAAGCAGACCATCGGAAGCGCTTGCAAGGCTTGTGGTAATCGAGGAATGCTGGACACTCGGCACAAACTGTGCACATTCATCCTCAAAAACCCACCTGGTGAGTTGTGTTCTGCCGTAGGCTGTTAAAATGCATGTACTACTATTATTCACTATATTTGGCATTAGAGTTATGCCTCGTGTTTGTTGGAAATGGGTATAGTACTACTTGATTTTTACATTTCTGATGTTAGCATTGCATACAAGCTTTAAATCCCTATTAATTGCAAACCTGTTTGAAATGCAGAGACTGATAGTAGCTGTGTGAAGGAGAAGAAAGAGAAGAAAAACAGAAAGAAGGATAAGGAGAATGGCTCGGGAAGTGGTGAGGCTGGGAACCATAATGACATAGATGCTCCAGATGCTGTGGTAAGAAATACCTATGAATAACTATACATATATTAATACAATTTGTAACCAGTATATTAAAGTGTACAAGTGTTGATGTGTAGGATGGTGAGGAAGACGATGATGACTGGGCAGAGGAAACCACAGAGGAGGCCCAGCGTCGGCGTATGGAGGAGATCAGTGACCATGCTAAGAACCTGACCCTCAGCGAGGACCTGGAGAAAACCCTGGAGGAGAGGGTCAACTTGTTCTACAACTTTGTCAAAGTAAATAATGTCACTGTTAACTGTTTCCAATGTAAAAACATTTTCTAATGACATCTTTGTATCTGGTGGAGTTACACTACCGTTCAAAAGTTTGGGGTTGGTCAAAGAAGTTTCTGTACTCGACAAGGCTGCATGCATTTGATCAAAAATAGTGAAAACAGTGATATTGTGAAATGTTATTAAAATGTAAAAGAACACTTCAAATGTAATTTATTCCTTTGATGTAAATTTGAATTTTCAGCAGTTATTAACTCAGTCTTCAGTATCACATGATCATGCAGATATCATTCTAATATGATGGTTTGCTGCTTCATGTTGAAAACAGCTGAGAAGCTGGTACATTTTTTTTAACGTTTTGATGAATAGAAAGTTTCAAAACGCCAACATTTATTTGATGTAAAAAATCTTTTGTTAAATTATGTCTATTGTCACCTTTGATCAGTTTATTCAGTTAAATTGCTGCTTTCGTTAAATAAATGAATAAATAAAATAATTAAATGAATAAAAAAAAAATGTTATTGACCCCCAAATTTTGAATGGTAGTTTACCTTTTGTTCCTGTGTAGTAGATTTAAATTAACATGTAGTTATAAATAACCAAGGTTCTATCAATGCCACTAGAATTCAAACAACTGAAGAGCATCTCTGTTTTTTCTGATCAGCAAAAGAAAGAGAGTAGAGCAATAGACTCTGCTGATAAGGAGATCCTGGCTGAAGCAGAAAGGCTGGATGTGAGAGCCATGGGGCCACTTATCTTGAGCGAACTGCTTTTTGATGAGAACATCAGAGACCAGATCAAGAAATACAAACGTCACTTCCTGCGGGTGAGTATAAAAAAATAAAAACACCAGTTTTAATATTAAATGTGATAGACCGGCCCACACAGGATCTGCATGTACAGAACTATGTGAGACATTCTGCTGATTCCCACAGAATTGGAACACCCCGTCACTTGTGTTAATTTATTAGATATTTTGGTTAATTTGATTGTGCCTTGAGGCAAATATAGTACTCTCAGCTCCATTTAATACATTTTACACCCAGCATTTGGCAGATTTTGCCCAAAAATCAGTATCAAAAATACAAAGTTTCCATCTGGGCCAAGTGATAGATGAGTATTTATAGCAGGACACAGAGACTTGCTGACAAGCTATGATGCTAGTGTAAAGCCATGCTAAATATAGTCTTGACTGTAAATTACACTTTTAAATAAGCAGCATTGATATCTACCACTTTTCACCCATTGCTTAGATAAATGAAGTTGAATCCATTTAAATGATCTACTGGTTCTGCAAACGATAACAAATAAAGTGCTTTTGATTCATAAATCAAAGTGCCAAATTCTCCTTTTCCTGTAGTTCTGCCACAACGATAAGAAAGCTCAGAAGTATCTGCTGGGAGGCTTTGAGTGTCTGGTGAAGCTTCATCAAAGTCAGCTGCTGCCACGAGTGCCCATCATTCTCAAAGACCTCTATGATGCTGACCTACTGGAGGAGGATGTCATCCTCATGTGGGCAGAGAAGGTACAACCTACTCATCATTTGGATTAATAGAGCATTTTATAACATCGGGGTCATGAACTATGAACTACAAATCATGAAAAATATGTATTTTTTCCTTTGTTTCAAGGTATCTAAGAAGTATGTTTCCAAGGAACTGGCCAAGGAGATCCATGCCAAGGCAGCTCCCTTTGTCAAATGGCTCAACGAGGCAGAGGAGGAGAGTGAGGGGAGTGAGGCAGAGGAGGAGGAGGAGGAAGATGATGATGAAAATGTTGAGGTAATGTCTTACACATTTTTAAAGTTGGAAAAACTTGTGGGGAGACAGACTGTTTTTATTTTTAATATTGCTTGGACAAACTCTAAATTCTACACAAGCCCCACACACACAGGTTAATGTAGTAGTTAATTAGAGAAACAGCATTATATTTTAACTGTCAGCAGGAGCCCTGGGACTGTAATTAGTGAAATTACATTAGTCTTCTCTGCGCTAGAATTAGGGTGTGTTTTTGAGAGACTGTTGTGCTGGCTTGTGATATTCTGATTCTTCATCTTTCTCGTTTGTTTTTGGTCTTTAGGTTGTGTACTCCTCTTCTGCCCGAGAGCTGAAGGTGGAGACTGTTCAGCCTGAGAAAGCAGAAGAGGATGACGACCTTGATATAGATGCCATTTAAAGAAATGGCAAGTGAAACAGCAGCTGCCATCTTGGAACCTTGCTACTTCCTGTTCCTCTTGATAAAATGGATCACAGTGGCCTCCTGTTTAGCCCCAGTCGTGTTTTGTCCCAGTTTCTCCTTAAGTTACATTTGATTTACAAGAATGGTTTTAATATAGCTCTTTCATTGACTTGCTGCTGATGTATTAAGAACTTTTGAGCTTTATTGTCCGTATTGAGCAATTTTGTTGTATTGTGAGCTTGACTTTGATTCATGGGTTTGCTTATACTGCACATCTGATTTTTGTTTTTCTTGAAATCATTAAATAAAGATTTTTGCTGTACGTTACATGGTTGATTTAGTTTTCTTAACTAAACAAGATTGTAACCCGAGTCTAACGGAAAACATGAAATAAACAGGAATAACAGTGAGCTATGATACAACTCTCTCCATTTTGGCGTCACTTGAGTTCATCACTCATTTTTCTTCAGAGGTGGCAGCTATTACAGAGTTGCTTCAACCACATGCCTTCTCACCAAAACCCTGCCCTCCAAAAACATGTGCTTACTCCAATTGTACAAGGAGCATTTCTGACGTAGACTTGGAGTCAGGGCGGTCTAGGTGGGTTTTCTTGCGACATCTTTTTTCATTGATGTATGTCAAGTAGTAGTAGCATTTATTCAAAAAAGTTGGCATCTATTGTGGAAAATAATTACTTAAGGTTGAACGTCAAGCCTAAAATGGCCACTAGATGGCACACATACACAGTATATAACATGATAAATCTAAACTGGCATATTGCTGTAAATCAGTGGTTCTCAGCTTTTTCTGACTCTAAAGTCCACCATTGTATGAGCCTCCATACAATTACGATTCCAGTAATGGGACCTAAAATAAGCAAGAACAGGCCAAGCAAAAGTCAGTCTGCAAAGACTTGTGCAGCAGTGAAAATATTTTGTCAGTGAGATCAGTGAGTGGACCATTTAACCAGAATACAAGAAATGTTAAATTTTCTATTTATTTATATATTATTTATATATTTATACAATTTATTTATGAGTATTTTAATATTATTTTACCAAAAGCATGATATCATGCAATAGCAGTCCTACTCTCATATTTTATATGCAACATGCAAATTCAATTATATTTATTAAACTGCAAGTACATAATGGCACAGTTTCTGTACACTGCATATCAACTTGCACATATCTGTAGTTAATTTCTATACTGTGTTTTAGGTATTTATATATTCTATTTACTTGATATTTTATACACTATTTATTGATGTATTGATGTGAACTGGTAACCTCTGTTACCAAGACAAATCCATTGTGTGTGAGAGAGAGCACACCTGGCAATAAAAGCTAATTTTGATATTGTTAGGTTTGCCTGATGTACTTGTTGTGTCCTGAGATCTCAACATGGCGATGCCCACAGGGGGCGACCCGCTCCATATACAAGAAAACTGGAAGCTTGGTTTCGGTATGATGAATAAATCTAGTTTTCATCTCATGTCAGTGTACAATATTTTAACTAGCTATATTGCTCAAAAGTGCACCTTTAAACAAAACACACTGACTAAATAATTGAACATCTCTGTCTTCATTTGGCATAACGGCCAAGCCATATATGGTCAAATTGCACTTCAATTGAACAGGGTGTGCCACAGTTATGGTATGGCGAAGTTTTCCCCTTTTTTCCATATGAACACCTACAGATCTCTGAGGGGTGCGGCGCTGTCCAATGAGCACAGGGATCCGTCTGTTTCCTCACTTCCTCTGTCTCTGTCAGGGCTCGGCTCGAAACTCCTGCGCTCTTGGGCAGCCATCTTGGATCTCGCTTTGAACGAGAGGCAGCAGACGCGGCTGTTTGGATGGAACGGAACCGTCAACAAGCGCGTCTTCCCCGCGGCCCCGACGCCTGTGACCGCTGCCGTTCGCACTGAATGTACCGCACCGTCCGCTTGAAGGATCGCTCGATGAGCAGATTGTCTTTGGGGGAGATCGCAGCGGAGGCCCCGTGAAGTGCAATTTTCTCTATTCTTAACGATACTTGAACCGGACATCCGAAATATGAAGCAGACAGCGACGCAAGGCCTGGAAGTATTATGTTTTTAACAGTGCATAAGTTAGCCGGCCTCATTAGCTGTTTTGGGATCTCTTAGATGGGTTGCAATCGGTAATTAAACGCAGTAAGTTAACGTCAGCGGAATATTTCTCCTAAACTTTTAACAAGTTTGTTACCAGCTTTAGAAGCAAATCAATGATCTTGACCAAGCGTGTAATCTGTCAAATATATATTTCCCCCTTCGTTGCACCGCAAAACCTGCTGCTTACATCGTAATTCCGGGAAAGCAGCTTTCCATCAACACTATGTCAACAACAAGAGCCCCCCTGCCCACCGTCAACGAGCGGAAGGCTGAAAATGTAAGTAGCCTATTTATGTTGAAGTATTTAATTAATAATCAGTCATAACTGCTGTAGACTGACTCAATCCTGTGTTGATGTATCACTTGTGAGTGTGTTATTTGTCGCGTCTTGTCGCGTTGCGATCGTGTCTCGAAACCTGGAGAGCTGCCTAATTTACCTAGACAGCGATTATGGTCAAAACGAAGCTGCCGTCTAAAATCGTTCAAGCTGATTTCCCTCCAGAATTAAGGGCAGTGTCGCATCCCATATCGTGTTTTATGTGCTTTAAGTGGATTAGCAGTATTGTGCCAGTCTTTGGACAGATGGGGCACCAGGCTGAAGTGACGCATGGGGTCCAGGGCATCGGTAATTTGGCTGCTTTTCTGCTTATGAGTGCAACACATATGCTTGATTAGTTTAAGTCCTGCACGCTGGTGAGTGGCCGTGCGTGGGTTGGCATGTTTAATGCGCCGATAGGATGCAGATATTGCGCATTGGCGTCAGTCTGTCCTATAGGTTACTGCTCTTACGTCAGCAGTGAGGAGGGAAGGTGACGAGCACGCGCGCTAATGCAGGTCCCCCTTAAAGTTGCCTGTGAATAATGTGGCATTAAGTTACGCTTTGACTTTTCCAAAGGATATCTATCTATCTGTCTGTCTGTCTGTCTCTCTCTTCTGTCTGTCTCTGTCAGTTTTACTATCATTCTATCGGTCTGTGTCATTCCATCGTTCTGTCAGTCTTTCTATCTGTCTTCCTATCTGTTGTTGTCAATCAGCGATTCTATTCTATCGTCCATTCCTTTGTCCGTGCATTAATTCCTGGCGTTCTATCTATCGTGCTGTCTATCGTTCTATCTAGCTATCTATCTATCTTATCTATCTATCGTTCTGTCTAGCTATCTATCTTATCTATCTATCGTTCTGTCTAGCTATCTATCTTATCTATCTATCGTTCTGGCTAGCTATTCTGTCTAGCTATCTATCGTTCTGTCTAGCTATCTATCTTATCTAGCTATCGTTCTGTCTAGCTATCTATCTTGTCTATCTATCGTTCTGTCTAGCTATCTATCGTTCTGTCTAGCTATCTATCTTGTCTATCTATCGTTCTGTATAGCTATCTATCGTTCTGTCTAGCTATCTATCGTTCTGTCTAGCTATCTACCGCTAGCTATCTATCGTTCTGTCTAGCTATCTACCGCTAGCTATCTATCGTTCTGTCTAGCTATCTACCGCTAGCTATCTATCGTTCTGTCTAGCTATCTATCGCTAGCTATCTATCGTTCTATCTAGCTATCTATCGTTCTGTCTATCTATCTATCGCTAGCTATCTATCGTTCTGTCTAGCTATCTATCGCTAGCTATCTATCGTTCTGTCTAGCTATCTATCACTAGCTATCGTTCTGTCTAGCTATCTATCGTTCTGTCTAGCTATCTATCGCTAGCTCTGTTTAGCTATCTATCGTTCTGTCTAGCTATCTATCGTTCTGTCTAGCTATCTATTGCTAGCTATCTATCGTTCTGTCTAGCTATCTATCATTCTGTCTAGCTATCTATCGTTCTTTCTAGCTATCTATCGTTCTTTCTAGCTATCTATCGTTCTGTCTAGCTATCTATCGTTCTGTCTAGCTATCTTATCTATCTATCGTTCTGTCTAGCTATCTATCTATCGTTCTGGCTAGCTATCTATCTATCTATATATCTATCTATCTATCTATCTATCTGTTCTATCGTTCTGTATATCTATCTTATCTATCTATCGTTCTGGCTAGCTATCTATCTATCGTTCTGGCTAGCTATCTATCGTTCTGTCTAGCTATCTATCGCTAGCTATCTATCTTTCTGTCTAGCTATCTATCTTATCTATCTATCGTTCTGGCTAGCTATCTATCTTATCTATCTATCGTTCTGTCTAGCTATCTATCGTTCTGTCTAGCTATCTTATCTATCTATCGTTCTGTCGAGCTATCTATCGTTCTGTAGAGCTATTTATCGCTAGCTATCTATCGTTCTGTCTAGCGATCTATCTTATCTATCTATCTATCGTTCTGTCTAGCTATCTATCGTTCTGTCTAGCT